GTAATTGCGGCGAATTGTCGCTGCCATTAGTTTTCCCTTACTATTTTTTTATTCAGTATTTATGGCTCTTTCTTTTTCTACTTATTTATGTATTTAGTTGAAGATAACAATGTTTAAAGGATTTATGAATTTATTTTCAGTTTTTAAATAGTAATTTAATGCTGTTGTGGAGTCTTGCCTATTAAGTTTATACATAAATTCACGTTCCTGTTTTCTTAGCCACCAAAATTTGCAGTCAGTTGTGGGTTTACTCAATAACCAATGAAAATGATGATGAAATATTGGGAGTTTCCCAAATTCGGTTTGTGGCATATCTACCATCCTCCGGGCGTAATTGAAATTCCATCGTTCTACCGATAAGGGAGAACTGGACCATCAACGGACGTTGGGGAAATGCATGATAAGTTCTTCTGACACGGCCAATCATTTGGCCACGACTCGAATCCCCCCTTCATTTTCCCTTTGAATCTCCGTCGCCACCGCCGCATTTCTACGTGTTTCGCGTTGCAATTTTCAGCTGAGCTCATGTGCAAACGAGCAATTTTCGTCAGCCCGAAAGAAGAAACTTCGATGCTGTTTGAGTTTGATTTTGAGCTGCCGATGCAGCTTGCCTTCAATCAGCAAAGCTGATCGACAATTGAATGAAATGCGATTTGTGCCAACGAAAAGGGTCTGGACCCTCATTCTTCCATCCTCACAGGCTTTGCTTATTAATTTTCCAAGTAGGGCAAGGGCATTGGAGCCTAATTGGTCTCGTTTTAATAAGAGATTGTGAGCCATTTTCACTGCACAGAAAGAAACTTTTTTGGAAAGTTTTCATTTTCGATTTAATGTTAATATTGATAACATGATTTTGTATATATACAAAATCAAAGAAGTCAAATATTCCAATAAAATAAAAAATTATGAATTAAAAAGAAATTTAAAAAAAATCTCAACACATTTTTTTAAGTTCTGTAATTTGTTTTATTTCATTAAATAAATATTATTACCATTAAATATAAATTTTTAATAATTTTATTTTTATAGATTATATTTAAAATTTCCCTTCAGTAGAATGCTAATTATTTCCCGCGGTGTAGGGGCCAACGTAAATCGATTCCAGAAATTGAATGAAGCATTCGCTTCGCATTATTTGGATGGCAGATAGCTTGGGCATTGCGCAGTTGGTCTGGTGTATCCAATGAAACTCCATTTCACCCAATGGCTGGTCATCCTGTTGTTCTGCGGCTGTGTAGCCTCCATGGCCGACAAGAAGAAGCTGCGATGCACTTGGCAAACGCAGGCAAAGTGTGTCCATTGGAAGGGTAAAAATATTTGCGCCTGTCGGCCCATTTATCTGAACAAAACCTTCCGCGATTGTCCGCCCACTATGAAATATTTCTGTAAAGAAGTGGCTCATGGTCCCGACTGTAGATGCTATCGCGTGGGATAAGTGTTGAGAGATAGCATTTTAAGGGGTTTTAAATTTTAAAATTACTACCATTGTTATTTAGCATAACATATAATAAAACCAATTAAAGTTCTTAGAGCTGAACTAAAAATCGTTAGCAGTTGTATAAAAGCTCAAAAATATATAAGATACTATCAAAATTTTTACCTACCTACCTACCATCAAAATTTAATCAAAAACAAAAAAATATTGCTTTTAAATTCTTAAAAAAATATCTCCCATTTGACACGCTTTCTGCAGCATTCGATCCAGCTGCTTGTTTGCATTTGGTTTTTGTATAGTTACTTGTTGGTTTAGCCGGATCGGAATGCGATCGTTTCTTCTGCTGTTCCTCCTGGGATTTTGGTGCTATTTAACCTTGGCCGAGAAACCCTTAAAATGCACCTGGTGGGAGCAACACAAGTGTGTCTTCTACCAGGGAAGGTTAATTTGCCGATGTCGCCCAATCACCGAAAAGGACAAACGCTTTTGTCCCAAAGGAATGATTTACGAATGCAGGCAATTCCAGTTTGGTCCCGATTGCAGATGTTATCGAGACAAGCACGTTCCAATCAAAAATCAATTTTTGTAATTCTAAGAAGGATTAAGTAAAATTTTTACAGTTTTCATAAATAACATGAATTTGTACGTTTTTTATAAAAATATTAATATATTAAAAATATTAAAAATAGCAGATTTATTCTAAAAAATCTACTAAAATCAAGTTTCTAGATAACGAATCAGAAACAAACATTCATTCTCGTTTAAAATATTTAGCACACATTTTATTACATTCCGCAGTTAAAGGTTGGGTTGCTTATGTTTGCCAGTCGATTGGTAAAAGTTTTAATTTATTTAGTTCAGCACTAGAATTCAATTATGCCGGTCTGCATCCTAAAGTTCTTATCTCCCCTGGGCTCTTTTCACATCTCTGTATTTTTCTCCACCCACGTACTTTTCGAAATGTTAAAGCTCTCGCATTACGCATACGCCGCGTGGGCTGTTTTCCATGTGCGTGTGTGTGGCTTTTGTCGGTGCTTGCGTGGGTGTATGCGTTATTGTTATGGCTTGCGATGCGGTTCATTTGGTTAATGCACCTCATCTGGGTCAGCCTATTATTCACGGTTGCATTGTATAATGACAATTCCTCCGAGTGGTGTGCCCGTGTGTGTGGGTGTTGGTGCATCTGTGTGGGAAATGCATATGTGTATGGGTTACAGATTCCAATGTATGCGTTCCTTTGTTACCCGCAAGGCTTTTTGTTTTGTGAAAACTAAGCCATCGATGATGGCTTCGCAGTCGAAATAATGAGGCACCCATCTGGAATTTAAGCCTTTTTTGACCAGGTCTCAAAATTTCCATTGACGGTAGATGACAATGGGTGTTGGATGTTCCTCATTTTTTGAATTTACTGCATTTTTAATTTTAGTTGATACACTTTTCTATTTGTAATTTAAAGCAAGTCCTTCAAATTGTAGAAATTAAAAAGGTACTTTAAAATCCATTAGTTTATCAGGATAAGCCAGGATAAAATCCCATCACTATCACAAAACATAAAGATTTTTTTAAGAACAGTATATATTTAAAACAATTTAGGTCAAGGGATTTTTGTTGCGTCCGTGATCCCTAAGATTAATTTAAGAATTGTAAAAAAATTTAATTTGATGAAATAATGGTAACTTAGGTCGTTTGAAATTTTGTTCTCTCTTAAGATAATAAAAGTTTGCTGAGTAAATAATTATCTTTCTGAAATATTAAAAAGAACGACCAAGAAAATGGAAATGAATTTAAAATAACTATTAAAATAATAATTAATTGGGTCGTTTGCCCGCTGAAGGGTACATCTCTTTGCTTCTGTTGGTGGCACCTTATATGCATTTTCCCCTGCATCAAGCTCGTATATCGTGGTTTATGAATGCGAGTGCGAGCGGGGGCCATTCTGTTAATGAAATTTTCGTGGCCGTGTGCATGGAAAAAAGTGCTTTCAATAAATAAAATGCAGGGCCAGTGGTCGAGTGCTTGAGCATAATTATGCGTTAAAAAATTACAATAATTTTTAATTAACATAGCGAGCGGGCAGAGCTTGCGACCAGGTAAATGGAAGAAAAACAAACGAGCGAGCTATTTATAATTGCGCGTTATGCAAATGCAATAGCTTCAAGGAAAAGAATAAAAGATTGCGGAAAATTGAGAGAAAAAATTATTTAATGGATAAGTACAGTTAAATTAAATGTGTGGCTTAAATATATTTTCTATACAAATTAAACAAAACAAATGGGAAAACTGAGTGAGGAAAAGGGATTCACCATTTGGGATTTGGCCGAGATTGCAGTTGCTTGAGGATTGCATTTCCACCACTCAAGAGTCCCTTTTCCTTTTGCTCAATTGTCAAGGAGCACTTTCGAGGCTGCCACGCCCCTCACTAATTTTATCTATTTCTTGCACTTTGGCCAAAAAGCAATTGTCTTAGACAACGTTTCATCATCAAGGCAGACGTCGCCGCCCTCAAGTGGAAAAGGGAGGTGGAAAAGCGAGGTGGTGGGCGGAAAATACGGAGTGGTGAGGGGTCGGGTGAAGGGCACTTGAGCTTGAGCTTGTTGAAAATCAATTTCTTGCATCATTGTTTGCCAAGTGAAGTGCACTGGAAAATTTCTTCGTAGCCAACAGAGCAGCACTCCTCATTCTCCCCAACTCACTTGGATTTCTCCTCTGGCTGTGTTAAAAATCAACGTCATATTGATGCATCGAGTGCAAAGCCAAATGAAAGCAATTAAGCTGCTCAACTTTTCGATTCCGTCTACAGAAGGGCTTATCTGGAATGGGGGTTTGGTGAAATGGGCTGAAAAAGGTGTTGGTAACCCCACCTGAAAGATTCATTTTCCTTTGCCTGATTACTTTTGGTCAATTGCCGTCGTTGTTGCTTTGCTCCAAAAGCGTCCTGCATCAAAGTTGGCTCTAACGAATCGTAATAAAGGAATTAGCCAGGGAAAAATTCCTCGTCATGTGAAGCTGTGAGGTTTCTGATTTGCATTCACTTCAACAATACCTGATATAGTCGGGGTCAAGAAAATTGGGAAAAGGCTAAGGGACAACCGAACGTGCTTTAGACCCAGCATTTAAAAATTGTATATTTTTTTATACTCTTCAAAAGGGTTTAAATACTCAAATAAATAACACGTTTGGTAGTTTAGTTTTCGTAGACTGACCAATAATGAAATTCGTTACGATTGTACCAAAAAACTACGACATATCTGGTATACAATTTTTTGACTTTTATAATATGGATCTGTTATATGGATCATCAAACTCATCAAGCTGATTTTTTGCTCATTTATTTAGATTATACATGGGAATTAACGTACCGGTGATTTAATAGATAGAGCTATTATTGCCAAACCTAAATTTGTTATAACTCATTGGCAACGAAACCGAGCATATTCGAAAATGGTTATTCGTCTTCGTCTTGTTCAATTTATAATTTTATTTTGTTTTATTAAACAAGTAAGAAACATTTTATTATTAATTCCCTTATGTATAATACTTACAACGTACTTAAACGATTTTGCAGATTATATCAAGAGTGGAGTTTACAAACGTTAAATGCACTTCCCACGACCCTGAGTTCGCCAACTTTGACTATTGCTTGCTAAAATCAGTGAATCGTACATATAAATACCTTTCCTTAAAGGTGAATTTGGTAAAAAAGCCTATTACCAAAATAAAAGTGTGTAAATGCTTAAACAAAAAGTATTTGATCTAATTAATCTGTTGTCGTTTTAGGTCAACGTAGCATTATTTCAGCGTTTAAATGGCTATAAGCCGTTTCTCTATAACGTTACAGTAGACGCCTGCAAATTTTTGAAAAATCAAAAATCGAATCCCGTTGCTACTTACATTTATAGTTTCTTCAAAAGTCACTCCAATATGAATCATACTTGTCCCTTTGATGTGAGTACACCGCTTTAATTATTTTTTATATGGATACCTCACATACCTTTTATAATTATTTGCTTTCAGCACGATATTATTTTGGAAAGGCTTAATACCAATTTTCTTAATATGCAAGTAACAGATGTTCTTCCAGTTCCTCACGGCGACTATCTTTTTCATTCCAACTGGTTTGCTTATGATATTAACCGTGCTACTGTAAACGTATATGTCACAATATCTTAGTGCTTTATGTTTTTAATGTGTAATAGAATTCTAAAATTTTGGGTATTTTACCAATTTATTAATTTACTAAATATTAGTAACAAATCCAGTATTATCACTAAATTAGAACTTGCGATTAATAGGTATACATTTAAGATGCAGCACACTGTTGGAATGAGATAATAATTTGTATTAAAATCAGAAATATAATGATTTGGAGACAATGGATCATGTAATTATATTTATACCCTTTCAAAGTTTATTTTTTTATATTATATCCTATAGTTCCCTTAGAAATTAGCGAAAAACTAAAATAACAATGGGTTTAGCTGAAAAGGCAGCTAGTTTCTTTTCTTATCTTGGGTTAATTGGAATATAAATATACCCTTTTAATTATATAACCTATCGCACTCTTATGCTTTTTCATGGCTCTAATGCTAAAGATCGTTCGGGTAAGAGTATCCTATCTCCCGTTATACAGCTTATCATTTCTCCTTTGCTGCTATTGTTATTGCTGGCACCGCCATTCATTTCGTTGCACTAATTTGAGGAACACAAGCGCCAATTTCTTTTCGGGAAACAAGCGAACGGACAAATTTGCTCTAGACATCCTGTTTCCAGTGCCTTCTTCTTCGTCCTGGGCGAAAAAGTTGTAATTCTATTTTCGAAATTCGTTTAGTCCTCTGTTTGCGCAAGAATCCGTTATTTTCTTTGTGTGCCGAGCCCCTACCAAAAGACCCGTCCCTGTCACCCGAAAACACGAAATGAAGTTGCAAACTTTTCACTCTTTACTCATTTTTGTTTCTTCATTTTCCTTTTTATACCCTTAAAAGGGGTAATATAGCATTGTACTGCATTTCGTCAACACTTTCTAAATTCGGAAAGAGTAATTTATAGTTTTGTCACGCTTAAACACATATTTTCCAATTCAAAACTAAAATATTTAAAAAAAATCCTATTGCCAATTTGTTTTATATATTTTTAAGGGTATTTAAAGTATGACGATTAAAGTAGACTGCGTTTTCTTGTTGTTTCTTCATTTTCCTCCTTTTTTTTAGTTGGGAACCTTCGTTTAGTTTGGCCATGCGTAGATCTGGGAGGTGTAAAGGCGATAGAAGGGAGTGGGTGGTCTTTCAGGGGTGGTTCAGTGGGCGGTTCAGTGGGTGGTGCAGAGGTACAAGTATCGGTGGGTCGTCTCAACCGCCGCTGTCATGTCATCATGTTGATGAAGCAACCGGATGATGAATGGACGTGCGCCACAGTGGAGCTTCAATTGATGCAATCAGAGTAAAGTGACAGTTTTTTTTGCGAGCTCCTCTGGCTTTTTTTTAGCTCCGTTTTTCGCTGTCCCAAAGGTTCTTGGTGTTGCTGGTCGGTTGTGTTGCATATCGCACGTTGTTCGGTTTGTTAGTTGGCCGCGTTGTTGCTGTGGTTCTTGTTGTTGTTGTTTTTGTCACTGGTTATTTGACTGGCGGTTTGATGAGTTCGATGCGATTCGCTTCGGTTATTTTGTTCCCTTTGAGGTGAGGGTTTAATGGAGTGGCCCAAAGTCTCTAAAATAAAGTTGAAATGCTAGCAAAGATATTTAAATTAATTTTTAAATATTTTGGCTTACATTTTGTAATAAAGTTTGACATTCTACACCTTGCGATTGATTTTATAAACTTCGGGAAGGCAATATAGTCTATTATAATTGGATATTTATCCTTTCCTCACATGTTTAGATAGGGATCACCTTAAAATGATTAAATATTTTATACTATACTCTATTGCTTACATACATATTTGGTAGGCAGACGGGATGCTTTGGATAAAATTAATTATTTGGTATTAATGTCTTTCTCATACAACCCCTCTACCTGTCGACTAAACTGCAGTCCATCTAATAACATGGAATCTATTCTAATTTGCAGCCTGCAGCTTACATGATATCATCGACAATTGTGTTACGAATAATTAATAATTAACTATACACAATGCAGCCAGTTTTGACCTAGTGCTTTCAGATTACCACCGTTCCTATCACTTTTCACTCAGGTGTGGTGATTTATGGGTGAGAGAGCAAAGTCATTTGGACATGCTTCGATAAAATCTTTTAATCGCATGCTGAGCCAACGCGGAAACGTTCAAATTGCTAGTGTTGATATGGGGGATTGGCAATTGTAGTTTAAATAGTTTAACAACGAACAAAGCTAATGAATAGGTTGGTTTAATCTAGTGGCGGATCCAGAAGAACATTTTTGCTGCACATTCTGTGAGTGTGGGGGGGATTCATACAGAGTATCCACTTTTCCATCTCAAAAACATAGTGGCTTGACCCAAAAAAAACTCGCCACGCCAATCAAATCAACTGCTTAGCTGGCCAAACGAACTATACCTATAACATCATCTCCATTATCGAAGTCCAGGATAAACTACAATTTTTCTTCCCCTCTTTGTCCAGGGCAATCGAAAAATATGAAAAGCTTAAAAAAAAGTTGTTATATTGTTTGACCAATGCTTTTTTCTGCTGCCTTCGCTATCTGCAGCACAACAAATTCAACTTTTCTGTGCGATATGAAGAAAATAGAAATTGCTTTTTGGTCAAATACACACTAGTGGAAATCGCAATGAAAAATAGGAGGAAAAAGAAACCGGGACAAACAGCACAAAAAAAAAATGGAAATTAAGTTGCCACAAAGCAGATATCCAAGAGGCAAGCGGCAGTCGGCCTGAATAAATGCACGAAATCAGCATAATGTAATGGAAACAATTTTTATGACAACAGACCGAACGAAACCAACATCAGATGGGATCGCATGGGATGGTATGAGATGGGATGGGCTGGAACCAAAATGGCCCTGGCCATGGGAGGATGTCCTCTTCCTGGGGCACTGAATCAAGTCCCTGCTTTCGGATCCGGACCAATGTCAGCGTAAAACTGACAAATTAGCATTTTTTCCATTTTCCGGACCCGCCCATTCTGTCCTCCCGCCAACCACGCCAACTCCCCACCAACTAAATATTTGTCCGGCGACCGCAGCTCAGAAAAGATATATAAAAAACGAGTGACTGGTAAAATAGTTGAGTTGAGTTATTTTTGCAGCTGACCTAATTTTATAATGGAAAACTTGCGATAAGTCGGACATCAGAAAAAAGTGCGGAAAATGGGGGAGGCAAAGCTTCTGGATACACTTGCAAAAGGAATTTATTGTAAGGGATAGAGTTCAGTTTAGATATTGAGCAATAATAATAATAATAAAAATAATAGCACTATTATTTAATAATTATTAAATAGCTATCGAAAAAATGAATGGGGCTAGTTAAATATATTTTTGAAATTTTACAGAGTTCCATTTTAAGATGAAATATTTTTTTGCGATATAAAAATATATATTATTAAAATCGTTGCAGGATAATAGTATGGTATAGCTTAGAAAATAATATTCCCGGCTACCCATATAAAGAGTATAGGTAAAAACTACTAAAAGACAGGAAAAAAAAAATTGAAGGCAATAGATGGAGATGAAAAGGGAGCTTGAGCTCAAGATGGAGGCGCTCCAGGCAAATAAATAGCCGCTTGGCCCTGTCCTGCTGCCTTTTCATTTCGTTTCATTTCATAGAGCGAATGAGACGAGTAGACAAGCTGTGCGAAAGGGAGGGCTCTAGACGGGCAAATAAATCTCTTTTGTGTGGACCTGAATTTAATTTCCACATGCTCATGAATAATTTTCAAATTTTCAAATTCAGTAAAACGTGAAGCGTATTTCCGGCGCCCCTTTTTACAGGTCGCCCCCCGCAAGGACGACGACAGCGACAGGGACTGGCACTCATCTCACGCTCAGTCCTTTTAGTCCTTTTTGGGCATAAAAAGTTATGTCAGCAGAAGATATATGGCCATATTAGGAGGCCCCCGCATATCCTCCGTCATCAACCTGCTGAGATTTCAGCCTCAAAGTCCTTTGCATGAGTTATTTGCCCCAGAGTTGGCCGCACAAAAATAAAATAAATAAAGGGATCCGCCTCAAAATCAACTCGCATACCTTTAAATGCAAAAAATCCCTTTATTATTTTTTCACGCGTTTTTTGCGGTTTAAAAAACTGTAGCCATAACTTACATCCACTTATTATATCTTTAATGGCACTCTGGAACGACCGTCCTCGGTTCATTTAAAATTATTTAAAATACTCACCATTAAATGGGAAATATTTCATGTGGCACTTTAATTAATGTGAATGCGAATGTTGCAAGTGACAAAACAATGATAATTGTATGGCTGAGAGCGTTCACCACGGGCATCAATTTTAATGGCCCCGACAGACAGGTGTGATCCATAACTATAAACGAGTGTCGACTTTATAGCAAGTCGAGGTTGATTACACATTTGAATTGGATTAGGTTAGGCTGTCACAAAAATCTTGGATACAAATTAAAACTGTTTTAAAATAATTTTTCAATTAATTTACGAACAATATATGTCTCATGGAAATAGTGCACTTAAAAACACTAATTTCATATAATATTAAATAAAGATTATATTTTCTTTTTTATTTTTAAAATTTATTTGACTTTTAGTAATGCTGAGCAGTGTTTTTTTTAAGAACTGCATGCGAATTTTAATTAATAATAATATACTTGGTTAATGAGAATGGACTTTCTTTAAGTTAAATAATTTGGTTAACCATAATGGCAGTGAAATTTATCAGTAAATGGAAAGAGGTGGTAAATTACCCCTCTTAAAATATTAACCATATTCACATAATCTGCATTTAACTATTATTGCCATTAAAGCACACAAAGAAATACATGCAAGCTTATAATAATATATTTTCTCAAAATAGAGTTCGTTTAGCTTGAATATTTGCCTCTTTACCCTTAAACAATCGGCCACAATACGCTTTAGTTTGGATTGTGTTCCACTTTGCTTTGACAAGTGGGCATGAAATAATACTCGGCAAAATAAGGCAACATATTTATGAACTGCTGACGTCGGCAGTCGACAGTCGGCAAAGAGGAAAATAAACAGCCGGCGAAAGGGAGA